CATTGCTAATAGTCCTCTTTCCCATGTCCATGTTGCACCTTCTCCCGATCTTCTATCTCTTTCCTACCTATGTCAGGTACCTGCTCTAAGGTAGGAGGGTTAGTAGGTAGTTTACTCCTTGCGCTCTCCTCACCTCCACCCCTCCGCCCCTTCCCCAAGCATCGACGGAATGCACATCACTCGCGAGGCAGGTACTGTACTTCCAAGCCCCAAGCCGAGTAAAGTAATGTACGATACCTCACTTCAGCTTGTCACGTAAGGTAAGGGGCTGTGTGGCTGTGGGTTCAAACTTGACCCATAGATCTCACCCGCAATGATTGTGGCCAACCTAACGTCCAACCCGTACTCCGTACTCCGTACCCTTCAACGTTTGCCTCCTGCCGGCCCTGATTCCGTCGAGCCCTTCAGCAGCTTCCCTCTTTTATCTGACCCCTCCCATCCATTCCGCCCGCTTCTTCTCGTCCCTAACTTGCCTCACTAGTGTACCTTGCTGTCCGCCACTTGGAATAACCCTAATGAACCGCTTGCCTTCAGCACCAACACCTTATCCTTCCCGATTCAGTTGATTTCGCCAACCACAGACACCACCGTAGACATCAGCTGCTCCCCAAAATTCGACTACCTCGCCACGGGATATCCCTGGATCTTGTATCAGGGGCCTCCCATCCCAAGGATGAGTGAGGTACTTTACTTCCTAATCAGGGCACGTTGTTCCTCGTCGTACCTTATGCCTGCCGGCGCAATCATCACCGGCATCATTCCATTATCTGCTTCTGCACTGACGAGCCCATGAACAGCACCAAACAGTGTCATGGACGGTCGTATTTCTCCTTTTCTCTAGCCTCGGTGCCGCTCTTTGACAGTCTACCCTTCACTACGCAAAAGGTACAGACGACTACCAATAGTCCATCCTTCTCCATCTCGCTGGATGCACTGTGGGAGACTTCGGCCGCCATCCGACCGATGTTTATCCAAGGGTCTCTCATTGTACCCTCACCGTACCTGCGCATCCCATCCACGGCCGATCAGACACCATGGACGGTATGCTTACCTTGCCCCATCTTGGCTCGCCTGGCAATGCCGTCCCTATCGTCTTTCTGTTTCCACGATCAGCCTGAGGTGTTTATGATGCTCTCGAAACTACCGGTCTCCTAATTCCATTGATCCCTCTTCTCTCTTACTCCCCCAGGAAGAGTCGATAGTCGACCAGTGGCAACACAATCCGCATAACTGCGCCATGGTCATTGCTGGATCTAGCAGGTAAGGCGAGGGCGGACTTATCGAGCATATGTTGGCCTCGCACGCCTTACGCCTCTTATCAGCTCCCCCTTCGGCCTTACCTCGCCCGTCTCCCATTCAATGACGCCCGCCTTGGAACCGTACCGCCCTCCCCTCCGATTCGCAAGGGGGCATGGGCCACAACCAATGCACACACCTCGAGTCCCCGTTGTCTGGCATCCCACACCCCCGCCTCATCCCAGCTACTTCCCTACCAAGTTACATTAGCCACTTGCTTGACTGGTTAGCTTCCTAACTCTTTTGAACCAGCAGCTCGCAACAGACCGCGTTTCTGTCCCGACTGCCTTCAAGCCGCATACCGTCCCCGTGGTCGCAGCGCAACCTCGGGCTGCTTTCATGATGACTGCTACTACGTACATCACGGCATCTCGAGCTACTGCGGGCTGTGGAGAGAGAGAGAGAGGAGAAGGAGAGGGACAAGAAGTTCACAGCCGTTGTGTCGTTGAGGGGGGTGGTCAGCCGCCGCACACACTCTCAGTTAACCACAACCAGTCTGGCACATTTGCCTTCCACCTCCAACCCCTTGAGCCTCGACCTGTCCCATGAATCCTACTCTTACCTTCTGGTAGGGTCTTCTGGTAAGTCTTGTTCTTTATCGCTTTATTTCCCGCCTTGCGAGTGGAGGCGCTGAGGAAAAAGGCAACCAGAGAGACTGGCAAGTGAGGGCCTCTCGGAGAAAGATACTACTTACCTAGTGTGTGTACACAGTACTTCTTAGAGAGCCCAGAAAGCTCCATCCAACGGGTTCATGGGGCCCATGAGCCTGGCTGTGGGCGTCGACGACGTGGGGCCGCTTGCGCCATCTCCGACTCCCCGACCGCCGGCCGCTGGCCCCAAGTCAAACAAAAGCCGACTAGTAACAGGGAGAGAAAAATATCAGACGAGACCAGACTAAACGTCTGTTTAGCCTTACTGTCTGTCCGTCGCCTCCGTCCTGTTTGTGTACCCTTCGGCTTCGTCTCGAGCCAGTCCGTCTGCTCCTCGCACGAGTCTTGACGTCTGTCAGCTGCATTGGCAGCCCATAACCACTCGCTGCCCTGACCGTTCAAGCTTTCCCTTCAGTACTTTAGCGAGTAATCTTCCTCGCTGGCGAGAGCTCAACTACCGTCTACGAGAGCTCGCTTCTACGTCGCAATTGTGTACACTACGCAGCAGCCAGCAATGCGCTCCATGGACTGCTGAGCCTGGCCTGGCCTGGCCTGGCTTTCCCTCAGGCTTTTCGCTCGCTAGTGCAAGCTTGCAACGTCAGGTTCTATTCGGGTTGGGGGCGGTTCTCGAAGCATCACGCGAGTGCAGGGGGATCCCTCTGTGGGCAAGAAATTGCGACATTTCCGCCTTGCCTGCCAGTCTGCGCAGCCACCAGCCTGCGCAACAGCTCTCCGCCGCAGCTCTTAGAAGACAGCCCTGGCTGGTCTTCGCCTCGAATCTCATCTCGCTCTGTCTCTCGACGACGCGGGTGTTTCCCGTCATAAGCGCACTTAGAAGGCACCTGGAGCCAAACCCACGTCTCTATGACCACGCCCACGCCACACGGGCCAGCTTGCTAGGCTCCACGTGGGCCATGGAGTCCGTGGTACGATGCTGGGGGGCAGTCCCGGCAGAAACAAGCATGTGCCGAGTCACCGTTACAACCTGCAGATAGCTGCTGCGGGTGACGGCGAAAGGGGTGGATCACAACCACTGCTTGCTGAGAGCAAACCTGCCCTTAAAGCAGCGACAGACATGCAGCGTCGACCGTCACACGGCGGATGGGGTTGGCCGTGCCAGGCTCTCGGCCTTAGGCCTGACAAGCGGTCTCTCGATCGAAGCACGACGACTGGACGGACGATTCTCTTGGAACCCTTCCCATGCCTCTTTTCCCCCCTCCATTTCCTGCCGCTATCCTCTTGGACGAAGTCAAAAGTCACTTGGATGGAGAATGTGCGAAGCAAGATATTGGACAAGTCGCAATGCTCTGTAATCGTACAGAACGTCTCGGACACGAGGCCAACTTGACCACATCCTTTCTTTGCAGCAGAAGGTCTGGTCCACAGTCGTACGCGTCGGTTCATCATCTAACATGGTCAAGACAACTTACTTGAAGAGCCGAAAACTCTCCTTGGACAACACTACTAAGCGATATGAAGTTGGCCGTTGCACACAGGGGAGAGTTCAGCCCGACTAAGAGGGCCCGCAAGACATCGAATAGACCCTGTTCACGGTGAAGGGCACGTAAAGTTCAACAATACTCAAATGTTCGCGGCTTGAACTGCAATAGCACCATGGTTAGACCATGATGCCCTGGTACGTGCTCATGGCTCGTTCGCCATGGCACATGAGCCGTGTCTTGCCATGAAGTCAAAAAGTTTTCCAAGGTAAGGATGTCGCTAGATTTTGAGTTGTGGTTGATGAATGCAGGAGATGAGGAGCACGCAGTCCATACTGCGTATACCCGTCACTGCCCGTACCACACCTGGCAACCCTGGCATCCTCCTGGCCGGTTGAATTGGTATTCAGAGGTTGCTATTTGGCATTTCCGGAACGTTAGTTGGTCGGACGTTTTCTACTGTACGGCAGACTTTGTATCGACATGAATAACCCCCCGATGAATCTCGGGCCATCTGCTGGCTCTGGTTCGGTCCAGTGGGGGAGTTCATCCTCCTGGCAAGCCAATTAGTTCTGGCCCCCGGCAAGTAGTAGGTATCCTGATCCCTGGATCCGGTACCGAATAAGACATCATCGTACAGGACGGCAAATTAGTCAAATAAGCCGCGTGAACAGATGGCAACGTACCCCGATGCCAAGTAGACGGCCGAGGAGTCTCATCAATAATAATCTGGCAATATGTCAGGGTCACCTCGGGCGCCGACACGTTTTCGTAACCCTCTGGCAATTTAGACGTTCCGCCAGATTTGATTTTCGAAGAGGCTCACCGGCGAAGCCTTCACCCGTTGTTTCGATCTGCTAGTTCCACGCGCGTCAGAAGCAGCACGGTTGGCCCAGCGGCTCCAGCCTTCGAAACGAAACCTCTGCAAAAGGACAACAGGATGGGACGGAAAACAGCGGAATTACTGCCCCGTCACCAGGCTTCCTAGTCTTTTAGGTTTCTCGTCAATCTTGACTACCCGCCTGTCTCATTCCAACAGAGACACGAGCGAGGCAGTGGGCTGGCTGCCTCTCGAGCCCCTCCTCGATCTTCACGGTCGACTCGACAGATCTCGATTGGACAGCGCGTACCCGCGAGCGAGTCGTCTGTGTCACTGTCAGTGCTGTGCTGCTTGCCGATGTTGTTATTATACGCAGGCATGCAGTCTTATGGCCATACACTATTGCTGGTTTTGAGCATCTTTTATACTCAGCCCTAAACAAAATACCTTTTGCTGTCGTTGATTGTGTGTCTAGGTCAGGCAAGGTACGGACGGCGTGAGGTTGCCAGGTCCTCTAGACGCCCCGCCCCCAAACGCCAGCATTCATCTCGTCCACGATCAATAAGTTTGGTCTCTGTATCGGCAACGACGCACTGATGACAATATGGAGGGCACAGAGATCGATCCCCATCAAATGCCCAGACGCCAGAGATGTGGTCAGTGCTGAGGCTGAAAATAATGAGGAGAGAAGGAAGGGCAGGGTGTGTGCAGCTCTGCTTGTCCAAGCTCTGCCCCCCCCCCTCCTCCTCTCTCTGTCTCTGTCTCTGTCTCTCTATGTGTGTGTCTCTCTCTCTGTCAAGGTATCCGTATCCGTAAGGCAGGAATGAATGAGAACGGGAGCTTGGAAGGGGTGAGTGCGTTCCATTCTAGGGCAGGGTGCTCCGTACACATACAGACTGACAGAGTACGAAGTAATACGGGTAGGTACGAAGACGGGTAAGGTGGGCAGAATTTCCTCAATTTTAGCATGTGCTTGCAGCTCGCAGATATCACACACACACACACCCACACACACGACGCTGCGGGCCACATATGTTGCTTTCTTTTTTGTATTTTTCAATACTGACTCTATTGCAGCAGTTCTTATCCACTTACTTGACTCGCGGCAGGCAAATGGACAGACGGTGGATACTGTACACTGTATGGAGTACCAGAGGTTGGATACTGCGTAGGTACGGATAGACCATACGGATTACCTAGATGCGCAGCTAGAGAGAGAGCTCTGAGCTTCCGCCCAGCGGCTATGGCCCACAGCGCGCCCAATTCAATCCGTGTGGCTGGTAAGACGGTTTGGATTTTGGGGGCCAAACGGGGGGTCCAGGGGGAGGGGGGTTTGAGGTAGGTTGCCGTCGTCTGCTCGCCCGAAAAGGGGACCGTCGGGTATCCTGGGCCCAGTTCGGGGGGGCCACGGGGGGTGGGCTATTGATAATACCTTGCTGCCAAACATGTTTCTCGGACTTCAGTCTTAATCGGGTCCAAACCTGGGTTGGAGACTTGGAGTCAGTCTCTCGTCTTGGAGTCGTTCTTGGAGGCTTTCTTGGGGTCGCCTAGCGCAGGAGACTGAAAGCATGATCTCCTTGGCAGCTCAGCAGCATTTTCTTCGATCCAAGTACACTACTTAGTTACCAGGTACGTCCGTATCTTCATTATCTGAGGTATCTCACTCCATGTAGCCCGAATCCCATTTTTCCTTTCGAAAATGATATTTCTTTTGTTGGTCAGGAAAGCCAGTTTTTTGTTTCTCCTAACTCTCGTTCTTTACGTGGTATTTGATGGATTATATATGAAGAAAACTCCCGTCTAACCCCTCCCCCAAACGCCCCGGAGCTCTGTCCCGGCCTTCGTCGAGCTCATGTTGAATGACGCCGGCCCGTACTGATATTATGCTTCGCTTGCTTCAATCCATTTCTGTTTCGCAGTTGAGGTGGACGTCCAGAAACCGTTCCTCGCCCAAAAAAAAAAAAAGCCCTCCCTGGCAAGCTTATTTTCTCCCTCTCTGTTTTGTCCCTCTGGGACTAGCTGCATTCAGATCTCCATAGCCTGCCGAGTCAAGTCCGATGGTACCAAAGCTCGCACTTCACTCCAGTTGCTCCCAGCGTCTCTCACGCAGGGGCTTCTCTTTGCCGGCCGCGGCTCTGGTACCCTCTTTCTCTTCCTTCCATGCCCAGTACTCGGCGAGGCGCGTTTCCGCATACGAGGCGTAATCAAAGTCGATCTCCGAGATGACGGCTTGGATCAAAGCCCAGATGCCCCAATAGAACCCCGGCACGCCGCGGAATAGGTCCACCTCGTGTGTGAGCTTTCGGACCTCCGCCTCGACATCAACATTTGTGTTGTTCTCGGAGTATTTGTAGAACGAGCGAATGTACTCCTCAATGAACTCTCGACGCTGGGACTGGGTAGGCATGAAGTTGTAGTCGCAGTCGAATCCACCCCACTCGGCCAAGTGGTTGGCGATATCGAACGCGGCTGGTGACGGCGTGGCATACTCGTAGTCGATGAACGTCACTGTAGCCTCCTTCTTGGGGCCTTTGGCGGGTTGGGTACTCGGTAACACGATCACGTTGCCGCTCAGCAAATCGCAATGGGCAAAAACTAGCTGTTACGAGATAACCATTAGCAACTGTATAGGATCTTGGCAGCTCTACGTGACTTACGCCATCAACACCTAGACCGGGGCGTTGGCTGAACTCCTCCACAATGTATTCAAACTCCTTCTGCAGCTTGTCTTGTCTCTCCCTCTGGACCTGTGTATCGCTGGGCAGGGCCAAAATCCATTTTTGCATCACTGACCATAGGTTCGGCACAGGCTTCCCAGGTGCAGCGTTCTCGATGATGGCATTCAGGTCCTGATCGTGGCCCTTGGCGTTGCCATTGGTAGATGTCTGGTGTGTAATGCAGGGCACAGTCGCGTGCCACTGCGCTAACCTGCTGGCGACGGCTCGATAGATGTGTGGCTTCCTCAGGTCCTCCGGGGCTGTGACGCTGCCCTTGATAAATCGGTAGAGCATGCCATTCTGGAATCGGGCAAGCAATTCGGGGGCAAGGCCGTGCTTCATGAGAAGTTCATGGTTCTGAGCTTCGCGCTCGCGGTCGATGAGGACAGCGGTTCCATTTCCATACGCGCGCAACAAGATGGCCTCTCTGTCTATATCCTCCTTGGACCAGCCCTTTCGCTTGTTGATGGCCTTGAGTAGGGTATTGGTGATGCCGTCGGTGAAGCGAACGAATTCGATGTTGGAGTCGTCGGAGGCCCAGTCTGGTCGAACAGTCAGGATTAGACTAGTCGCAGATTGCTGAGAGTCTTCGCTGTCGTAGAAAAGGGGAAGTGTTCGGACATGGGGCAGCGCCGACCCGTTAGGGTGGCCGTTGCTTGCACCTTGGGTCATGATTTGACCGAAGGGATGACCGAACTACGTGGGCGAAGGAAGGGATGGGTATGTCGAAAGGGCAGGGACAATACCGAAGAGGTCAATTGCTGGATGAGGAGGCCCCTGTGGAATTCGGCGGTTTGTTCAGTCGCTGGTGTTGTGCGACCTTGGCACTCTGGATGATGGCAGAAAGGGGCTCACGGCTGTCTGCGAGACGTCAAGGGGTAGTGAGGATAGCGAGGCTGTTCAGGAGAGGAGAGGAGAGGTGCAGAAGGCTATGAACAAAGCGAGATACGGATAGTAGTAGGTCGATATGTTGGTGGTTCAGGTGTGTAGGAAGAAGAAGCAGGAGTGGGAAGAGAGGAAGGTGGGTATTGTCGGATTGATATTGGGAAAAGATGAGGACGAGGGGGTATTGGGTTTGGGATTGGCGCCGTCGAGATAATGGTGGCCGAGCACGAGACCTTTTTCCTTCCTCGTGCGGATCCCCAAGGTATGAAAGAAAAAGGCAGTATCTTTTAGGGAGCACCCAAGTGGTAGGTGGCAGTGGCTCTTGGAATGATGTGGTGCGTTTGGTAGTCTAAAGTGAGATTCGCGTTGGGGAAATTACGGTATGTGCGAGTGGCTAATCTTCTTTTGTCGTCGGTCAACGAATCGAGGAAGAAAATCAGAAGGAAGAAGGGAGGACTGTGGACACTGGACAGAGACACAGAGAGACACAGAGACGGAGCGAGAGCATGTGAAGAAGGTGCAGAACAGAGCAACTTCCCACTTTCCACTTTCCACCTTCAGGGACCTTATGGATACCGCACTCACAGAACAAGCCAATTACCTCGTGCCTTGGTCGACTTACGACCGCCACATGAGTGGGCCTGCCTCTACTGTGTACCTTCCCTTTCTTCCAGACCCCCGATTTCACCATTAGTTTCCCGGGTGTACGTAGTATGCGCGTACTCCGGACAGGCACAGGAAAAGAGCTTTTGATGGAGCAGATTTTCAATCTTCATGTTCAGGGTCTCTCTGAGCGGGGGCAGTGCCGCAGTGGGAACCCGTTGTGATTGGGGGACCGGGGCGCTCCCGCGGGCGCTTTTTTCCCAACAACGCCTCCGCTAGCAAGGACAGACCTCAAGCAAAAGCTCAACCTGGAGTGACTTTGCCCTTGTTTGTTGGCCTTGTCTCTGTTTCTGCACAGGACGCAGGACGCGTGTCACGAGCGTCACGGCATAGGCACCGAGGAGAAGGAACCAAGGTACGCTGCTGTCCATCTCAGTTGCTCAGACCTTACGTACCTACCTAGTCTACCTTAGGTAACTATGTAAGGTATTCGTGATTAGATTAGATAGGTAGGCACGAGGAAATGGATGGGGGTCCGAAACAACCACAACGACTGAGAGGCGCCCTTACCGTCATTGTTGCCTCTCTTTCCCCAAGTCCTGTTCCCCTCCCCCTCCACACCTCGGGCTATTGGATGGTCTACACTAAACCCGTACCAAAATGTACCTACCTTACCACAAGCATTGGGTTCTTTCAAGAGTCCATAGCAGTGGCATCCAAGGGTCTTGCAGCTGCTCGGCAATGCAGTGCGACAGCCACAACGGCCTGACGAGCCTGGATTGGATCGCAGGACCCAGCCGCTGGATCGTCTCAAGAGCTTCCCCTCATTCAGTCCATCCAATACTTGTTTCCGATTCCCAGGAGCCACGCCGGAATTCCGTCATCGTTGGAGCTGAGCCTAATGTATCCGTACCTTAGAGCACCACCTTCTCTGGGGCTTCTACAGCGTGCCTACTGTACTCGCCTCTTTCCCCAGTCATGATCAGCGCGGAAGCCCGTATCGACTCACCATCTCTACAATGTAACTTCGAATGTCGTAGCTTTACTATGTACTGGTTAGTAAACCGGGTTCGGGAACCAATTTCGCTATGCAACGAGCGTTCGTTTCGCGCCTGACCGTCGCAGAGGTGCATTCCCTTGATGCACCGTTATCTTCACTCAAGCCACAGGCTGAGGGCTGCCTGCCTTAGGCTGTCTTAGAAGAGGGCTCACCGACTCTGTGTCTCTCGTCTCCTGTAGTCTAATCAAGTCCAACCCGGCCTGAGCATCCTGATCGCGAACTACAGTCGGGTGTCGTGTCTCATCTTTTGCTTCGAACCGGCTACCTAATACCTATGCATCCTCAATTCCCTAAATGAGCCACACCTCTGGCTTAAAACTCATAACTCCAACCAAGGACATGCGATAGCGAAAGGTTCAAGCTCGCATTTTCGCATTAGGCATCTTAGGAGAAGCCCTCTGAACCGTTGATGTACTGAGGTCTGACGGGGCTTGCCGGTTGCCCGCTCCTCACTCCTGCCTTCAGCCGAAACCTTGAGAGCCTCAACCCCACCTTGAAGTGCCGTCGAGGAAGGAAACGGGGCCAGACCGGCGGTGCTCGGACCACCTTGCACCTTCCGGTGGCTGCTGAGCCGTTTGTACAGATACGTACCGCGGACATCGACCTCTATTGGCTGTGCTCATCGACTTCCTACGATCCAGCCACCATCCTCATCCAACTTCGGGCTTACTACAGCAGATCGGATCGAACCTGCAACCTATCTCATCCCATCTACGGTCCAGCCACGACAAATAGCCGCATGTACCACTTCCGCCCTGCTGGTCTGA